CTGAGGAGGATCCTTACCCCAAACCAGCTTCCAAAGCCCCACACTTCTCACAGGTCCTGGCTCTGGAGCTGCCCTCATTGGGTTTAATGAGCTGGGGCTAATTGCTGCCTCCGGGACACAATTAACTCCTTCCTGCCCTGGCCCAGCTGGGGCTTGTGAATCCCAAGACATCATCTCCCCCATGCCAGGTTCCTTAGGAAACATCCCTCTTCCTTCTGAATCACGGCCTGACACAAAGCACCGGTGCGTGGCGATGCTTTAGAGCCGGGATATATGTGGAACGTAGGATTTATTTCAGGTATATGAGGCACCGAGTGCGGCTGGGAGCAAGCAGTGAGTAAATCAGCCCCACTTGGGGATAATGGGCTTTGGAGCAGGTGGGTGCTGAAAGCCCCGCTCCTATGGGACCATGAGCATTAGGAATGAGTGGTGCCATTGAGGGATGCTGCCAGGAGCCCTGGAGGAGGCGGTGACCCTGGGATGATGCCAGCAGCGGCCATGGGGATGCAACCACCAGCAGGAAGGTCTGTGATGAGCAACAGGAGAGCCCAAAGAGCTGCTCCAAAGCCATGCACCCTCCATGTCCCATGCGGAAGAGGCAGCACTGGGTGCAGAGTCCATCCTCCTCCCCGTGCCTGCAGTGGTCTCCTCTGCAGCCTGTTTCAGAGCTGTAGCAGACCTGGAATAAGGAGATGGAAATTGCCAGAGACTTTTAATTTGGCTCCTGCCAATTTCTCTGTCCCAGCTATTGATTCTCCTATAAAGATGAGGCCCCGCTCCCACCCCTCGCTGACAGGCGCTATCGGGGGGGTTTGCTCACCCCAAGAGCGGCTATATGTGTTTTATGAAGTGTCAGATCTCACTAATGAGAAGAGGGAGGAAAATCAATTGCCTGCTCCTATCTGGACTAACGAGTGCTTCCTCTTGATGCCATGGACAGGACAGGGCAGGCTGAGAGATGTGGCAGCATCCCTGGTGGTGAACGCAGCACGGGTCCAGCTGCAGACTATGGGCGGGTTGGAGTTCATGTTCCTAAACCCAGGATAGCAGCTGGGGCTGGTTGGGTATCCCATTCTCCATGCTAAGTTCAGGATGCAGTTCAGTGTTTATGCCAAACAACCTCAATGCAGAGCCCCAGTGACAAACCCTGACTTCCAAACCCTGCCAAAGTGAGGAGCAGAGCCCAGGACCTCACCTATGTGAGATGCTGCCCTCGGCTCTGCAGCACTTTGGTCTTGTACATGAGCCTTTCCAGGTCAGTTCTGGGTACAGGGGCACCGTGACCAGCACAGAGCTCACCAGCTCGAAGGCAGACAGAGCTCTTCAATAGGAAGACAGCAGCACAGAAACTTAAACACCCCCCTTTGGACCTTGGCCATGGCTGGAACAGGAGCTGGGGTTACCCAGACCTCCACAGGACTCTCCTACATCCTTAACCCCTGACACCATCAAGGCCAAGGGATCAAGGAGAGACCCAGCTCCCAGCACACCCAGCCCGAAGGACAGGATGGGGATGCACCACATGAGCCTCCTGCAGAAACCTGCCATTATACCCACCACCGATCCCTGCTATCCCCCCTCCAAGGCAAGGCCATCAACCTCCTGTCATTCCCATTTGTTACCTTCCCTGTCTGTTAGAAATCACACCTGACAAGAGCCCAGTTAATCTCTTGGCAGCTGGGGAATGAAGCTCCAGCTGCCTTGGGAAGATGCATTGATGGCTTAAAGTGACAGGTCGCCTCCTCCCGTGATGCTCAAGCAGCTCTGGGCCGCTCTGATGGATCGTGCCTATCATTCAATTACAAAGGCTCAGCAGGGAGGCATTGGGTAAGTCCATGAGCCAGCACCAAGGCTAAGCCCTGACCCAACGAGCTCATCACAGGGAACACAGAGGCACCTTCACACCCAGGAGGCCTGGCAGGCTGCTGATGAGCACAGCAGGCGTGTACGGAGCTCGACACTGTGACCCAGTCCATCCAGTCTCTTCCCCATCATAAACCAACCAGCTGGGCAGTCCTGCAGCAAAGCAGAGCAGGGAAAGCCCTTCCCACCCAAAAGGTAGCGGCTGCACTTCATGGAGCAGTTTGTGTCCTATTTTGACATGTCTCTAATAGGGATTCTGTGTTTAGGTTCACAGAGCTCCTGGTACTTGGTGCAAGGATAGACTAGACTAGACTAGACTAGAATAGTTTGGGTTGGAAAGGACCTTAAGATCATCCAGTTCCAGGGACACCTTGCTCTAAACCATCTCACCCAAGGCTCTGTCCAACCTGGCCTTGAACACTGCCAGGGATGGAGCATTCACAACGTCCCTGGGCACCCATTCCAGTGCCTCACCACCCTCACAGGAAAGAATTTCCTCCTTAGATCCAATCTAAACTCCCCCTGTTTCAGTTTTAACCCATTACCCCTTGTCCTGTCACTACAGTCCCTAATGAAGAGCCCATCCCCAGCATCCTTATAAAGATAAAGATAAAAGCATCCTTATAAAGAGCCTTATCTCACTGTGGACACAAGCACTGGGGGGTGTTTGGCCTCAGATGCAACAACTGCAAAATCACCCCCAAAAAGAGAAAATCCCCCCACCCCCAGCACGCCATGGAGCCCAGCAGGTGCCATCAGTGCTCCGGAATTCCCAATGGATGAATACGAACATCCTGGATGAATACGAACATTGGCAAAGCAGCAAAGAGCAAAGCACATCTGTGAGTGTCCCTGCTCCACCCCATGCATGATCTTCAGGCTTCCCAGGATGGAGCTGGCTTCCCTGCTCAGCGCTGCACCCATTGCACCTTGTGCTGAGCTAGCATTTACCATTGCCTGGCTGTCATAGGGTGGTTAGGGTTGGAAGGGACCTTAAAGGGACGTGTCCTGAGGCTGTATCCCTGCAGTTTGCTGTTGAGGTCCAGGCTTGGTAAGAGAGAACCAAGCTTTAACCCATCCCACAGCAGCTCAGCAGCTCTTTGGAGCCGGGGCTCACAGGAGGCTGAATCCTGGTCCCATGGAGCAGAGGTGAAACACGCTGGAAGCACAATGGGGATGTCTCATAAAGCACTGGAAATCAGATGACCGCAGCCCTGCAGTGCTCAGAGCACCGGGAGCAGCATCACAGGAGGCTTGCGTTCCATGCTGCCTGTGCTCCCCATAAGAGCCGCAGTGGAATGAAGGAGGCAGAGGGGAAGCACAGCTCTGCTCCTCACCCCATGCACCCACATCTGCACCCCGGGTATCCCCGCACCCACGGGGAGCTGCTTGTCCTCCAGGACAGGAGAAGCCCTTTATGAAGTGAGGGTACCAATGATTCTGGGGCCGATGGTGCTGTAGATCCTTGGGGTCTGTCCCTACACATGGGGACGCTGGCTGAAAGGCTGAGAGAGCTGGACTGGGGCAGCCTGGAGAAGAGAAGGCTCCTGAAGGGGAGACCTTAGAGCAGCTCCAGTGCATAAAGGGGTGCAGGAAACCTGGAGAGGGGCTTGGGACAAGGGATGTAGGGACAGGCCAAGGGGAATGGCTTGAACCTGCCCAAGGGGAGACTGAGCTGAGCTCTTAGGCAGAAGCTCTTCCCTGTGAGGGTGCTGAGGCGCTGGCACAGGGTGCCCAGAGAAGCTGTGGCTGCCCCATCCCTGGCAGTGCTCAAGGCCAGGTTGGACACAGGGGCTTGGAGCAAGCTGCTCCAGGGGAAGGGGTCCCTGCCTTGGCAGGGGTTGGAACTGGAGGAGCTTTAAATCTTCCTGTGATGCTGTGATTAAACTACTGCCACCAAGAGCAAAAAGCATCATGGTAAAAAGCAGAGGCTTGGGAGAGATGCTGGATGCTGAGGGCCCCAGCCCAGGACCGCACACCACAGTGCATCGCCATGGCAACCAGGGCAGCAGGAGGAAGCCACAGCACTGGGTTTGAGCTGTGGGAAGGTGTTGGGGTGCCCCGGCTCCCCTGGGTGCCCTCCAGTTGCTTGTGGGTGCCTCCTTCCACGCCATGCAGGCTCTGGGTGATCCCAAGACAAAGCGGCTCCAGCTTGGGCAATTGCAGCCTCCTGGCTGCAAACAGAGTGCGGCTACTGGGAAAGCAGCCATGGCAAGGGAAATAGAAGGGGAATGAAAACAGAAAGGGAAAACACGCACAACCCCAGCTCTGTCTGTGGGCAAACAGCCTGCTGGAGAGAGCCAAACCACTCTGAGAGCAGGGCACCATAACCCAGTGCATGTGCTGTGCCTGGTGCGCTCCATAGGCGGATGCTGGGAGCTGGCTCTGCTCTGGGTGAGGTGGGGGTTTGGGGTGGAATGAAAAGGGAAAGGAAATTCCGCTTGTTTCCGAGGCCGAGAGCTCCCTTGGAGAACAGGATGCTGTGGATGAGTGAATTAGCTTAAATCACAGCGCAGCACAGGCCTGCTGACAGGTTTACAAACACCTCAAACCCCTCCAAGGCAGTGTTATTGGTCCTGTCATGTATTGGGGATAAACGAGGCTAAGATAAGCGGCTCTGCCAATTCAATAGCATCATCCAGCTCCTACCAGACAGGTAAGAACCGAAACACCCCGGTTAGGTGCACCAACTTCAGTAATTACAGGCAGAAGATCACATAGGAGGAGAGTTACCCATTGGGTAACTGGGTTGTGTTGGCGCAGGCTGGTCGAGGACACAAGATCTTGCTTCCAGGTTTCCCTATGTCTTTCCTTTCCAACCCAAGTGCGTGCAGCTTGTGAAAGCCACGTTCTTGATGTCAAGCTGGGTTCTCAGGATGGTACCACCAACAACAGGGCAGTTATTTAGCTCATTCCTGTCTATGAGACATAGGAGCACCACTGGGAAACCCCTTCTGCCCTGGCACCATCAACCAGAGCAGTAAATGAAACACTGAAGGCTGGGGCAGCAGATAAGGCATTGGGAAGACCATCACCTAAACACCTCTTTAACAGCCAGCTGTGATCTGTTCACAGTTGCTTTGCACGTGTTCCATTCTCTTCCTGTACATCCTTTAGACACTAACAGCATCCTACAAGAAAGCAAGGAGCTATCATGGTCCGAGGTGATGATATAAGCTAAAACCTAAGAAAGGGAAAGCAATAAAGCACTGAAAACCCCAAGTTATGGCTGTCAGTCCACTGCTGAAGGCAGAGGAGCAAGGAAAAGCACCAGCTTTCCTCTTGAAAGCTGTTGTGAGGCGGCTCTTGGTGTACTGCGTGGCTCTGGCTGCTGAATAGGAGCTCACGTGGGGGGCAGAGGGTTAATCTGAATCACCAAGGTGATTATGTAGCTGTAGACCTGGGTTAGAGGATGGGTCTCAAGCCGCAACAGCCTGGCAGATTGCAGAGAGAGAAAAACAGACATCTCCAGAGATGTAAAAGAATGGAAAGCAATTGCTTACAGGAGTACAAAGGCATCTAATTAGAATGGAACAGAAGATAATAAGATACAGAGGAATTTTGGCAGAGTATATCAGAGAACAGCTCCTGACAGTGAATATTATTAAGCAGAGGTAGAAATGCTCAAAAGGGGGAGGGTAGAAGGAGCCCAGCTAGTTGGAATATGGAAAAGCAGACTACACAAAACATCAGCATACAACCAGAAAGGACAATTCCTCTGGAGCTCCATGGAGTTTAACAGCTCTTTCCCATCTAAAATGGATAAGCTAAGCTTGAGGAGAGAAGAGTCACTGTCAATACTCCCTCACAGCTGCCTTTCCTATGATCCTTGATGTTGTTATTGCCATCTTCTTACGCAGCAACCGAGCTTTGGAATCATGGCTGCAGTTTCCAATGAGCCCAAAAGCAGTCGGGAGAGCCCTGCGCATAGGGAAGAGCAAGGCAGTGGTACCCGGGAGCTGTACTTGCAATGGAGAAGCCTCATCCAGCAGTTCCTGCACTCCAGCCTGAGCCTCCGCTACCTCCAGAAGCAGCAGGATAAGGTTCACATCCTGAAGAGGTGCTCCTTTTGCTTGGATATTGAGCCCAAATACGTGAAGGTGAGAGACCAGAACCATGGGGTTCATCGCACCGAGATCCTGCAGCTCATGGACTACCAGCAGGGTGCGGAAGATGGGAAAAACCCAGACCCAAATCCAGCTGTTGCCCCTAACGGAGCTGTTGGAAGAGCTGCAACAAGGCTGGAAGGAGCTGAACTTGTGCGTAGAGTTCTATGACATGGCAACTTTCTTCTCCCAGTGGGACAGGATCAGGCAGAAACTGTCCAAGCTCACTGGGTTTATGGAAACTCTCCTTTCCTTGGAGTCCCCAAGGCAGAGCTGTGTCAAGCACAGTCTGGTGTCCGATGCGGATCTCGGGGGTATCAGACCCCCCAGCTTTAGGCTTTCCCTCTATACCAAGATGCTGGTGGTGCACTCGAGAACTGGGCCAGGCTCAAGTGGTTTACTGAGAATCAGGAGTCACACCTGGACCAGTGCGAGCTGAGCTTGAAGCTACTGACAATGGGGTTGGAAGTGGGATTCAGCAGGACCCACCAAGTGAGCTCCAACTCCTGCATAGTCCAGAACCTGAAGCCCAGCAGATCCTATGAGTTCACCATTAGGAGGTCACCCAAAGGGACCCTTGTCCTTGAGGAGTGGCACGACACCATCGTTCTGACAATGCACACTGCCAAAGATGCGCGGAGCAGTGCTTGCACCCCAGAAGGATGAGGTGACACTCAAGAACGTGCCTCTCTTTGATACGTTTGAAACCATCTGAATGAGAACTCAATTAAACCATGTGAATGAGAACTATTAAAGGCAAGCCTTATTTTTAAGAGTTAGGACTAAACCCGACCTCCTTCTTGTTTTCAACAATTTTAGAAGCGTCTTCCCCAAATCCTTCCAGGTTCCAACCTTCTCACCTCCTTTGGCTGCATTCAGGACCCAACGCTTCCCCCTGCCAGGACTCACAGCTGGGAGCACTAAGAAGCAGGCAGACACCTTTGAATTAGATGATCTTTGAGGTGCCTTCCAATCCGAACCATCCTGTGATTCTATGCAAGGCACAGGATACGGAAGCATCTCCATCATCCAGGGCTTGCCATCCACTGGAAGATGCCCAGTGCCAGCTCTTGCAATGATGCTTTTTTCCCCCCCTCTTCCCCTCCTCTAAAGCACCTGAGCTCTCAAATCACTTCCCTTGTCTTATCTCCATCTCTGGTTCCTCTCACCCTCTACACACTGGCATGTACTGCAGTTAATGCAGTACCATTTGGTTTGGTCCAGATAGAGCCATCCCCACACAGATTCCAGTCAAACCCTCACAGAAACAGAGCTTTTCGTAATAAAATTTATTCTTTAAATAAATCCAAATCATTTTTACAATTATGGCTTAAATATCAAAATAAAATGAAAAAAAAAAAACCCCACAAACCCAGGAATGTCTGAGGTTCATTCTTATAAACAGTAGAAGCAGGTAAAAAAATCTGTATCCAAAACATCATTTGAGGTTTGCTGCAAGTCACAGACGTACAAAAGATAAAAGCCTGCCCCATCTAAAGTTCCTCAATTTTACACTTCATGACACTTAACATTTCATTTCTATTAAAAAAAACCCAACAATTTATTGCAGTAAATTGATTGTCCTACACACATCTGTCCAATCCCTAAGAACGGTCCTAGGGGCCTCTCCTTTGCCAGTCAAGGAGAGGTTTCCCTGTTCTGGATGGCTGTGGGGTCACGCCAGCCCAAGGAGGATGGCTACAACCCCATGGACCATCGCTTCCTGCTTGCACAGGTTCCCCTGGTTCAGCTCAGGCCCAAGCTCTAACTAGTGCCAAGGAAAGGAAGTTTTCCTGTTGGATGAATCCACATTTGTGTCCTGCGACAAGGTTCTTTTGTCTGTGAGCAGCAGAAAACATAGAGCCTGGGACTGGACAGGTACCCTGTGGATTCCTATTGGAATTACCAAAGGTTTGGTCATTGAAGAACATGTGCTTGAACAGAAAACTCTTTCAGGAGTAAATTCCAAGCTCTGTGTGCAAATGAAACTGGACTACTTGGAACTCTCTTGTCTCTATTCATGTCAATGGTTCTCTGTCCATGAGCACAAGGACAAGGACACGATATAAAGCTGTCATTAACAGTCTATAAAAACATGGATTAATTGCACTTCCAGCTATCCCTGACTCCTGCAGCTGCAGGACCAACTCTACAGGTACCTGCCCACAGCCCAAGCAGCCCAAGAGTCCGGCCCAGCTCAGGGGGACTAGGGCAGTGTTTTCCAAGCAATGCCTATAAGATGCATGCTCAGAGGGAAAAAGAAGACGTCTATTGTCCTGCAACACAGAGGTGACCAAGCAAAGCATCTCATGGCCCTCCAAGGAGTAGCAGCAAACACTTTTTCCCCACTGAGGGCAAGGGAGATGCTTTGTGAGGTCTCTTTCCTGGTCTATACAAACACACGGGCAAACTCCACACAACAGCATTGGACTAAGCCACTACTCTTGGGGTGAGTTTGTGTTCTGTGTAATGGAATAACCAGCAAAAACCAGCAGGGAGGAGCTTCCACGCTTACATTAGATCAGGAAAATGAGACCCGCTGGTTCCAAAGAGACCAAGGTGACTCTGTCAGAACAGTGCTGGCACCGTGCTGAAGTATTCAGCCTGACAATTCCAGCATCTTCTGCAATCCTCCACATCACCTTGGAGGTACACGACTGCATTTCAGTAGTCCACAACAAGATCCCTGTGCAAGCTTACTTTGGAACTGCAAAAACCAGGCTGGCGCGGAAGAAGATCCCAACCAAGATGACTTCAAAGAGGAACAATGGACTTTGCATCTTCCCAGCTTTTCGTTTCATCTTTAGAACCAGCAGGAGATACTTCCTATGGGCTTTTGTCCCTCATGGAATCACCAGCCGTATGCCTATTATCATACTTCAATGAGACAAGAGCAAGCCTGGGTGGGCTCTGGTGTTCAGATCAAGCCCACCAGATGCACGAGTGCAGGAAGGTAGTTTAAAATGAGAGAACAACAGAATTTCTCCGTAGTTCTTGAGTCAAGCCCAACACAGTCATGAGAAGAAAGAAACACAGCGTTCACGAAGGACTTTTCCTTATTGCACGTTCCTCCACACTGCAAAGAGCCATGCTGCACTTTCGGTTGCACGCACACCACGGCTGTGGTGCTGTGAAGCCCTGGGGACCCCTCGCTTGCACCAAGGAGGACTCGGGTCCCAGCACAGTATAGACTTGGTCTGAAACCACCGTGATTGCACCTTGGCTCCATCCCACATCCATAGACAGCCACGCTCGTGGCCTTGGGGAGAGCTGAGGCAGGCACTTCATACATTCAGGACTGAAATGAGATAAAAGACCCCTTCCCTCCCAACTACCATGCTTCAAAAAGCAGCTCCGTGATTCAGCAGAGAGCTCTACACCAGTGCCAGCCACACGTTCCCGGGTGGCTTGTGAATCACGGCTTGCAGTTCACAGCAGTTTGGCTCCTCGCACCAGCAACAGTACGTGATGCACACGTAAGCTGTGGGCACATTGATCAGTTCCCCATCACCGCCCTTAAAAACTCAGGCCATAAAACTGTGAAACCCATTCACAGAGTTAAAAGTCAATAAATTAGAAGCAGCTTTAAAAAAACGTGGGGTAGGAAAAGAAGAGGGGGGGGTTCCCCCAGGAGAAGATCCCAAATGGAACCCAGAAGAGATTAAAATACGCTTACAAATGCCAGCGTTTCCTGGAAGAAGAGGTCCTTGCTTTCCATTAACATGACACTGTTGAGGACAACCTCCTTTGCACAAAGAACAAGTGAATGTATGTACAAAACCAACTTGGCCTTGGCTCTGTGGTATTTGCACGGTCAGAGAAGAGCGTTTTAGCTGCACAAAGAGCGGAACACGGTTCTCTCTTTGCTTTCTTCCTTCACTTAAAAACAACGATAAAACAAAACACACTGGTTTTCTGCTTTGAGAAATGAGAAGCCTTAAAAATCCCCTTGGCCTTGGTTTCCAAAGGACTGGTAGCACTCAGGAGCTTTGGTCCTCTATGGCAAACAGCAGATTGCTGCGTGGCTCCGTTGCATGCAGGAATTCCACCCTCTGCGAATGGATTAAGTATTTGGTCCCCAAAGCACAGCTACGCTGGCAGGCAGGATGGAGGCTCCGCTGAGCATCTTCTGGTTAAAAACCAGCATCACCATTGATCAAGTCACATCCCCATCCATGCGTTTCCAATGGTTTTTGGTTTCCTAGAGCTGAAGGTTCCTATCCAAGGTTGCACTGATTTAAACACCCCAAGGTGCCAAAGCAGGCACTGCAGGGGAGCTGTGGCTGTGCAGGAAACGTCTTGCACACAGCATCTGGCTCCATGGGTGATTCAATAATGGAAAGATTCCGTCCTTCCCAAGGCACACGTAACGCAGTTCAGGCAGAGAGGGAACAGTGGAGGCACAGCCCATCCTCACCGGTGGAAGGCTGGATTCTTCTTGACTAAGATGTCATGGCCTGCAGTGTAGCAGTTTTGCTGCCTGTAATGCTGGAGCAGTCTCCTCCACAACGGGTTGCACTCCAGGAGGTACCGGTTCCCTGGTGGCACAAAGGGGGGGGCAGCAGGTTAGTGGCCAGAAGAGGCTTGAACAACATCACACACCAGCCACAGAAACTCCTGTCTGACCCTTCCAGCCTAACGGTGCTGGGTAACTCATGGGGACACCTCCTTGAGCCAGAGCTCTGTGAGATCCCGGCTCCCTTTCTGAGCTGTCACCTCGGTGAGCAGCTTCCCTACACATCGCAGCCTCCTTGTGATTAGGAGGGAACTAAGCAGCCAAAGTCTGTTAGGAGATTGCTCCAGCCTGCAAGGGACAGAAACCATGTGGTCCCAACCAGAGGGTGAGAAGAAACAACAGTACACATTGCGTATGAGCCGTGCATGCTCTCCACTTTCCAGATTGCCCAGACACACCACTTTCAAACCCACAGACATCTCAAAGAGGAAAGCAAGACCATCAGTTAGAATCATAGAATAATTAGGGTTGCAAAGGACCTTAAGATCATCCAGTTCCAACCCCCCTGCCATGGGCACTCACACCTCACACTAAACCATGGCACCCAAGGCTCTGTCCAACCTGGCCTTGAACACTGCCAGGGATGGAGCATTCACAACCTCCCTGGGCAACCCATTCCAGTGCCTCACCACCCTCACACCCTCCTCCTTATATCCAATCTGAACTTCCCCTGTTTCAGTTTTAACCCATCACCCCTTGTCCTATCACTACAGTCCCTAATGAAGAGTCCATCCCCAGCATCCCTATAGGCCCCCTTCAGATACTGGAAGCTGCTCTGAGGTCTCCACGCAGCTTCTCTTCTCCAGGCTCTCTGTACTAGTCTGGACCTCCACCCCTTTATCATAAAATGGTTTGGGATGGAAAGGACCTGAAGATCATCCAGTTCCAGCCCCCTGCCCTGGGCGGCAATGTCTCACCCCAGCACCCTGCTTCCCCACGGGCCTGTGCTCGCTTCCAGGAGACCCACCTAAAATGCAGAGTCCTTCCCGAGCTCGGGTGATGCCGACATTGACCTGGTTTGGGTCGGTGACAAACCCCAGGAACTTCTTCTGCCAGCTCTTGGTGGGCCTCCTATCAATCTCCGCTCGGGGACAGGAGCGCACGGTTGACAGGATCACGTATCTCCACTCGCTTCCTACAAAGCGGAATT